AAACACTGATCCCTGGGGACACCACTAGTGACCAGCTGCCAACTGGATGGGGCACCATTCACCACCACTCTCTGGTCTGGCTGTCCAGCCAGCTCCTAACCCAGAGAAGAGTGCACCTGTCCAAGCCATGGGCTGACAGCTTTTCCTGGAGTGTGCTATGGGAGATGGTGTTGAAGGCTTTGCTGAAGTCCAGATAGACAACATCCACAGCTTTATTCTCATTCACCAGGTGGGTCGCCTGGTTGTAAAACGAGATCAGGTTGGTCAGGAAGTATCTGCCTTTCCTAAACCTGTGCTGGCTGGGCCTGATCCCTTGTCCTGCCTGTGCTGTATGATCACACTTACAATGACCCGCTCCACCACCTTGCTGGGCACTGTGGTCAGACTGCCAGACCTGTAGTTCCCTAGATCCTCCTTCCAGCATTTCCTGTAGATGGGCATCACAGTGGCCAGCCTCCAGCTGCCTGGGACCTCCCCAGTTAGCCATGACTAATGATGGATAATGGACAGCAGCTTAATGAGCTCTTCTGCCAGCTCCCTCATCACCCTAGAATGGATCACATCCAGCTCCATCACTTGTGAGCATCTAAGTGGTTAAGCAGGTCACTAACTTCTTCCTCCTGGATTACAGTGGATCCATTCTGCTTCTCCTCCCCATCTACCAGTTCAGCTGGGGCCAGATGCCCTGGCCAAGTCTTACTGTTGAAAACTGAGGCAAAGAAGGTATACCTCAGCCTCCCCTTCTTTGCCTGTCCCCTCTGAAGAGCCTGTAGCCACCCACTGCTGCACTCCAGTTGTGACAGTCACCCCCCACCTTTCCCTGATGGCAGCTACATCACGTCTTTTCTGCTGCACGATGGCCTCCAGTTCCTCCTGGAACTGTGTTTCTTATCCATTCTGCGGGCACTGGTGATGCACTTCAGCTGGGCTATCAATTTCACCCCTAACTCTGGCATGCAGGCCCTAGACCCATCCCTAGTGAGCCTGGTCTCATTCCCTTCCCCCTTCAAACCTTCTCAATCAGCCCTGCCAACTCATTGTCTAGAACACTTTTGCCTGTTAGACAGGTGAACATCATCTGCAGTTCTGGTGCTGCATTAATCTCCACATGATCAAAAAAACCCAGATTCCACCATCTTTAAGCCACTTGTTGATCACATGGGTTTTCCTTCTGTTCCATTCCTTCTGGCATTTACCTCTGATACCAAAGGAATCAAGGAAAACATCACCTGTGTTTTCCTATCCCTTCAACAGGTCAACGCAGTGCCTTGAAGTCCTGTTTGATTACCCTGGTACTTCTCTCATCAACCTCACCACTGTCAACCTGGACAGCCAGCAGTGGGTAGTAACCAGTGCGCAGAATTAGCTCAGGGTGTCTCTTGGTAATATCCCTTACCTGGGCCACAGGAAGTCATCACACTTTCCTGTGGAGTAGGTCCACCTGGCATGCAGGGAGCCCTCAGATACCCTAAGAAACAAGTCACCCACTACAGCTGCTCTTCTTTTTTTCTTAATACCTGCATTTGTGATCCGTCTGGTTGATTGCATTGATCTGGAAGACCCTCCAGATAAATCTTCTTCTCCACTGTTGTCTGCCTGACCCTCAAGATCCAGGGCCTGCTACCTTTTCCATAAAGGCACCTTTTCCATAAAGGCACCTAATTACATAAATTCTCCTAACTCTCTGAGCTGGGACCTTTTTCCATTTCTTCCCATTTGCCTGAGGGCAAGAGGGTTGGGGCTCCTTGACTCTTGCTGAGCTTTCACCCACTGCTTTCTACTCCTGTTTTTAATAATAAGTCTTTTAGAGACAGTTTAGCTAAGAGCTGCTGTAGAAGTAGATGACCTTAGTGTTGATGTGTTTTGAACCTCCAGGGCTGGCACTATAATTTAGCTAAGGAAATCAACAACAACAACAATAATAATAATAACAACAATAATATTTCTTGTGGAAAAAATGGGGGGGGGGCTAATATTCAACTCAGGTCAGATACAGAGCTAGGGAACTAAAAAGAAAAGGAGTAGTAGTAAACTAAGGGGGGAAAAAAGCGTACATTTAGTGTTTGGTCAGTGTTTCAGGGTCAGCAGATTGAGTGCTCAGCCGGATGCACACACAGTCGGCAAGCCCAGGGACCGAGCGGGGCAGGCAGGGAAGCGCCGGAGCCCTATCAGCAAGAGCCCACAATTAAGTTGGGAAGTTTTCCCCTGCGCCCCGCACGCCCAGCGTCCGCCCGCAG